TAACTTAGTTAAAAGTGACTTTAAACTCGTTAATGCTCAGCCTTGTATATTTTTATTGACAACATTAGCATCTATCTTAAAAATTTAAAGATTCAGTGAGACAAATTAACATTAATTAATATTGCATTATGTTAATCAGAAACATACAAGATAGTCTTATACATTGCAAAAACATAAAATGTTTGAATTGTTTGAAATGTTYCATAAACATTACGCTAATTCATGGTTTTAGACACGACAAAATATGGTTAATGTACCTCTCCCCATGACCCTTTTTTAGATCCTGAGCGGAGCAATAATGAATATTGATTATTGAATGTATTGATTTTATAATGATGTGAGTTTTTCCGTCATCACCTATTAAGAAAGTAAAAATTCTTTGATTTTCTACCTTAGCATGTTTTCTGATAGGAAAGTGAATCTATTTGGGYTTTTTGGAAAGTCAAAATGGAAAAAACTCAGAATTTTCAAATATCTTGAAAAACAGCGAAACCATCAAAACCATCATTTTTAATAATATACATTTATTTAATAAATAAAAAGGCTTTGGGGGGGAGGATGTTATATCACTCTGATCAAGTCCCRTAAATACGCCGATGTTCTAGTATTATGATTTATAATTTTCGTTCATTGGTTTTTACCGATTTAGATATTTTGATGGCCCGCGTTCAATTTCTAAAAGTSTAATGTGGCCCTTTAAAAATATTAATTGACAATCCCTGCTGTAGAGTGATGCGCCYTATTGCTCTTGTACTGCTAGTASTTTGCACAGTATATCACCRACTTTTATCTTAACTTAATATATTTCAGTGATGTATTAAACTAAGCTTTCCATTATGCCGATTGATTTTAACTAAAAAAGTGTATAAACAATAATAAATTACATGGTACACAAAATATGATACCTTGGCTAATTTTATATCCTAATGGTACCTTGACTAATTTTAGAAATCGATATTTTTTTCTAGTCTTTTTGACTTTTAAACTAATTTAAACTGTATGTGCACGGTAGATACATGTCGCAAAATAATTTATTATATATTTATGATATTTGCTTATTTTCCAGAAAATTAGTTATCGTGAGGCCACGAAGCCAAAATTCAATATACTTGAAACATTAAACATTTACTCATAGAAAGGGCTCTATTTTAATTTTAATATTTCAAATGCTTCAATGGAAAATTACAGTGCCACCAAAACTTAATAAAATAGTACTCAATATACCTACAGCTTATCTTACAATAACAAATCTTRCAGAAGTCAAATTAGACGTGTCCTACTTTTAAGCAATTATTATCTATATCTTATTGTACCTATCCTACTGCTGAATATATTTTGTCTTCAAACTTAAAATTACAAAATAATAAATATGAATATATATTTATTGTTTAACGAATATTTCCGTTGCTGTGTGTTTTGAAATGAATCCATCCTACTTTTGTAACCATTTACAGCGCCCCTAGTGTTATCTAACTCTTTCAATCGTATATTTGTCTATTCATTGGCGTTTGGGAAAAAATTTARTTTATTATATTATTTCTATTATTATAATAATTAACTTCTTTCGTGCTCCACCGTAGACATATAGTTATGTCATTATGTGTGCCTTCACACAATTTCTTGATACCTAAATAACCATTGAATTTTGATAGATTATTCCGTATTTGCACAAAAAATTTTATCTAAAGGTCCTAAAGCTTATATTAATTATTCTAATATAAAATTTTATTTCATAATTGATAACGATTACATTTTGTATTTTATACTACCACACATTGCAGTTTAGTATAATTATTTGTTAGTTCTGTTACTTATATTTTTGCACGCATAACCATAGTAACTACCGTCTACCATAGACATCTATAATATCTATACTATTATTTTTAATAAGTAAAGTTTGTGAGGTTATAAGGGGTAATCTTTTGGATCTACAGAACCAATTTTGAAAATTATTTTACCAATAGAAAG